AGTTCTGGAGGCTAGAAGGCGTACACACATCTCACAGGGCTGAAATCAAAGGGTTGACAGGGCCATGTTCCCTCTGGAGTCTCTAGGGGAGAATATATGCCTGTGTCTTTTTCAGCTTTGAGAGGTTGCCCTGGCTTCTTAGCTCATGGCCCCATTTTTCCATCTTCAAAGCCTATGACATTAGGCCATACTTGTCTCATGCTATTATCTCTCTGGCTTTCCTTCTTCGGTCTCCCTCTTCCATCTATAAGGACCCTCAAGATTACATCAGGTCTATTTAGATAATCCAGGAAAATCTCCTTATTTTAAGATCAGCTGATTACTGACCTTCATTAGATGTGAAACCTTAATTTTTCCCTTGCCATGTAACATGACACAGTCATGGGTTCTGGGGATTAAGATGCAGACATCTTTGGGAGAGCAACATTCTACTTACCACAGGAGAGTGCGTAAGAGGTAATAGAAGCTGCTAGTTAGGAGCTTAATAATCTTACTTTATGTTCTCTGTGGGAGAATCTGATAGCATTGACATATCCTTTACCAGCCTTGTTTTGTTATCAGTGCTGCTTTGCAAATGTGAGATTTCCTTTATATAGCATTTGTGTGCAGCAACATCTTTAAGGTATGTTAGTGCTACAATCCCTAGTATGTTTCAACAATGTACCCTTCAAGAGGTAGTGTGGTAGAAAAAGGCATTCTTGGGGGGAAGTATGTGTACTGAGTATCGACCATACCTTTGCTGCATGCACCCTGATCCCCATCACTGTGGCTAGGAAAACAGGGTAGAAGGCAGATGAATCTAGGTTTGAGTCTCAAAGTTAGATATGTGACCTTGGGCAAGTATTTATAAACTGCAATTTGCTCATATACAAAATAAAAACATTAGTAAATGAAATAACATATGCAAAGTATTTAGCATAGTAGCTGACTCATAGAGGACTCCATTAATGTGAGTGACTGTTGTTATTTTCATCTTTTTGAAGTTCAGTTCCCTTATCTGCAGAAAGGGTTGGCCCAGATTCACCCTGTTTTAACAGACCGTGGTTCTAGATTTGGTTTTCTCTGTAGGAAAGGATTAAATAAGTTAACTTTATTTTATTTTTGGAGAGTGAGGTAGGTAGATCATAATTACGTATTAAATATCTCTGCTGTAAATGTCATACATCCATTTATGTTTATTTTTTTTAATGTGTGTGTGCGTGTGTTTTGAGAGAGAGAGAAAAAAAGAGAGAGAGAGGGAGGAAGGGGCAGAGAGAGAGAGAGGGAAACCCAGAATCTGAAGCAGGCTGCAGGCTCTGAGCTGTCAGCACAGAGCCCAACAGGAGGCTCGAACTCACAGACCACGAGATTGTGATTTGAGTTGGAAGTCAGCAGTTTAATCGACTAAGCCACCCAGGCACTCCTCCATTTACTTTAGGTTTTTTTTTTTTGTTGTTGTTGTTGTTTTGAGATGGATCACATAAGGAATATGTTTTTAAGATATAATCTTTTTTTTTTTTCAACGTTTATTTATTTTGGGGACAGAGAGAGACAGAGCATGAACGGGGGAGGGGCAGAGAGAGAGGGAGACACAGAATTGGAAACAGGCTCCAGGCTCTGAGCCATCAGCCCAGAGCCCGACGCGGGGCTCGAACTCACAGACCGCGAGATCGTGACCTGGCTGAAGTCGGACGCTTAACCGACTGCGCCACCCAGGCGCCCCAAGATATAATCTTTTTTAAGTTTCAAACTTAATGGCATATTTGGCCATAATATTCTTTTTGACCAAAAAACTTCTCTACTATTTCTTTAGGTATGTCCCTTTTCTTCACATTAAATAGTATTTATTTGCCTTTTCTCTTTGTTTTCTTTATTGTTTTTGCTAGTGGTTTGTCTAATTAGTCTTTTTGTTTGTTTTTAAACCAGCTGTTACTTTTATTGACTCTCTTTTTATTTTTTTAAAACATATCACTAATTTCTGCTTTTATTTTTGTTATTTTATTTCTTATACTCTGCATTTTTTCTTGTAGTTCTTCTAATTTCTTGAGATGGATAGCTAGATACTTATTCTCACTCTTTTTCTAAAAAAATATGCAATTAAGAGTGTACATTTTCTTTTGAGTATTGCTTTAGCTGTATATCACAAGTTTTGATATGTAGAATTTTCATTATTGTTTAATTATAAGTATTTTGAAACTACCATTGTAATAATTATAATCTATGTATCATTTAGATTTTGAAATTTCTGGATATATGGGGTTATCTCCTTGTTTTTGACTGCTAATCTTATTGCATTTATTCAGAAATTGTGGTCTGAATGACAGATATTCTTTGATATTTGTTGAAATTTGTCTTGTTTTCTAATAGAGGGTCAAATTTTGTGTATCTTATATAGGGGCGTGAGAAAAATGTGCATTCTTAATTGGTATATATGCAAAATTTGATATGTCACATACTGATATTTTGTCCTTGATTTATCAATTAGTAGGAAAAGGTTATTAAAATCTCTCACTATGATTATGGCATTACAAATTTATTCTTGCATGTCAATTGACTTTTGCATGCTATATCTTGGAACTCTTTTGTTAGGTATATATGAGTTTGCAAATTTTTTGTCTTCCTGGAAATGGTTAAATTATTAATGCTTTAATATATAATGACCTTATTTATTTCAAAATAACCTTTTGGCCCTAAATTGCATTTTATTCTCCTATTAAAACAGTGACTAGAGCTTCTGTTTGTTTATTTGTTCATTTTGGGGCCACATATCTTCTTTTTCCCTTTACTTTCAACCTTACTGTGCCTTTGTATTTTAGGTGTCCTTCTTTTAAATACGTGTAAATGAATTTCTTTGTTTACTCAGTGCTCGAGTTTGTAACTGATTTGTTTTTATCTTCATTTAAAATTTTGTTTTGTAATTGAGATATAACTGATATATAACATTATATTAGTTTCAGGTATATAAGGTGACTTGATATCTGTATATATTGCAAATTGATCATCACAATTAGTCTAGGTAACATCCATCACCACACAAGGTTAACACATTTTTCTTTCATGTAATGAGAACTTTTAAGATATACTCTCTCAGCAACTTTCAGTATGCAAAACAGATTGTTAACTATAGTCATCATACTGTATATTACATCCCTAGGACTGATTTATTTGATAATTGGAAGTTTGTACCATTGATCACCCTCACCCATTTTGCCCATCTACCTATCCCTGCCTCTGGAAATCACCAGTCTGTAAGTTTCATTTTGTTTTGTTTTAGATTCCACATATAAGTGAGATCACATTGTGTTAGTCTTTCTCTGTCTGACTTATTTCACTTAGCATAATACCCCCTATGTTTATCCATGTTGTCACAAATGGCAGGATTTCCCTCTTTTTTATGGCTGAGTAATATTCCACTACCTATGAAAATCTTCTTAACTGGAGAATTTGGTTCTTTTATATGTGCTTTTATTAATGGAATTTGGGAATTTATTTCTTCTTTATTATTTTATACTTCTGCTTTCCTCTTTAACAGTTAGATTAGACCTTATGTGTGCAAATTATGTACACAGAAAGGACTGTAGAAGCCAATGTAGTGGATTGACAAGATGAGGAACAAGTGTTGAGAAGCAAGGGCAGAGCTTAGAGGAAGGCTGAATAAACCTGGGAAAAAGATCCACAAAGAGAGATAAATTCTGACCAGAGAAACAGGAAGAGGTTCTATAAAGGCAATGTCTTAGGGTCCAGTAGCTGAAAAAGTCTAGGTAGGAGTGCATTGTCAATGATACCAGATGCTACAGATTCTATGAAAGGTGATTAAATTTGGTGGTTAGAAGATTGTTGAAATGAATTGTTTCCATGGAGCAAAAGTTTTGTGGGTGAAGAAAAGGCCCGATATAGAATATAATCTTAGAGTTGAAGATTTATAAGGATAAGGACAACTTCAGTATGGGAGAAAACTGCCTATCAAGATGTGGGAGCATTGATGCAGCAGAACAGAGGTAACTGATGAATCAAAGTCTTCAAGATAACAAAAATCTGCACTTTCTTCTGATGTGGATTTCTTTTCAAGAGTCCACTTAGAGACTGCACAGATTACATGCCTAATTACGAGTTGGAAGAAATGCAATATAAATGATGAGGGTGTCTCAATAGGGAGTGCTGATGAATCCATTAATTTGGGTATCATTGATCAAGCACTGTGAAGTTAATCCTGCAATGTGGGTTAGATCAGAGCATACATTAATAAACGCACTTGCGCTTGACCTATAAAATGAATTATCAACATGTCCCATAGGGCCGTGAAACCGGTGAGCTCTCTGAAGAATCATCACTATCACTAAGCCATTTTAAAGGCCTGGGTTTATATTTTCATTAGGAGAAATATCTCTGAATGTCTTTCCTAATGAAAACCAAGTGCCTAATTTTTGCTAAAACAGACTCAGGGCAATTATTAAAGTTTTTACTCTTAGAGTGAAAATAAAGTAATTTTACTTTACCTGTACCTTTTGTTGCCTTTCCTTTGGGAAGTGACTGCAATTACCAATTTATTTAGCAAATATTTATTGAATGGTGCTAGCAGTGTGACACTCATCCTAAATGACATTAGCTTATCACACAAATTAGGAGGAGCTATTTACATTTTATTTAGGAAAAGAATACTTAACTAGGCTGTACTTCATCTAGGCATCTTAAATAAAGCACTGTTTCGGGATAAAGGGTAGTTATCACATTGCTGAGAGTTTTGACTGCTTAGGAAAATCTGTTCGTTTTCTCCTAGAACTCTGACAATAAGATATTGGGAAAAACAATGTTAAAGGATGACTGGATGCCTTTTGTGATGGCTTCCTTCAAAAAAGAGGATTTTTCTTTTGTAAGGAAAACCCTTTTCTAGGAGCTTTGGTTATGAAAAGTGAGTGATTCCCCCAACTCACCTAGATCTTGGGAAAAGTTCTTTATTTACGTTACATAATAAAATAACAAGAATTTGACAATTGTCTCCTGGTAACGTAAGAATGAGTTGTATTAGAGCTTGAGCACTATTCAGAGAAGAAGAGAGATGAGTTAAGGGGTCTTACAGGAAGAAAACATGGCCAAAGGTCAGGACTGAAGGAAAAGGAGAGTTGGTAAGAGGTTACCTGTGGCAGAATAGTTGAATATATTTATGATATAAGACATGCTACTTGAAGTTGGTTTTTGATCTGTGATGTAGTCTAAGTTTTTCCAGAATCCTTACTAAAAATCAATTTTACACAGCAGCCCTTAATTTATTGGTGTTTTTGGTAATGAAAGATGAGGATCATGCTTGTGACAAAGTAGGCAAGAAAAAGATTTCACCTGGAGGTCAGGGCAAGGAAGGCAAGTTTGATTTCAGAAGAAATAGAAATTGCATAGAGGAAGCCCTTTGGGACCCCATGGAAGTGTTGTGGAAGGGCTAGTCTTCTCTTGCAAAATGGAATGGTGGCAGGGGTGATTTTATTTGTAAAAACATGGTTCCTGGTTCCTGAATATCAGAGAACTTGGGGATAGCTGACTTATACTAGAAGCACTGATAACAATGTCAGCTGGCCATGAGAATTTATTCACTCCAACCAACCCAGGAAAAAAACCAGACCTTGAGATTTCTAGGATTTGAATTGGAAAGAATAGATTTTTCAAAAAGGAAAATGAACACATTCTATTTCAACATAAATGCCATTCCAATATTAACATTTTCCTAACTAGTTAGCACTTCTTTTTCAGGCCATATTCAGCTGTAAGGAAACTTAATAGGTCAAGTCATGTTCTATACAGTAAGAATAGTTTCATTCTTTTGAGAACTTTAGTGGCTTGTGGTCCAAATGAGGTCAGGCTCTATCTTAGCACTTGCTTTGCATTCTCAGTTGTTTTGGCAAAAGATTCTCATGCAAAATGTATACTCAGTCATTGGGGTTAACATTTTCTGAATGCATTAATAATGGCTTCCAATGGGAATTATTATTTTGATACTTTTCTTGGGCTAGTGTTTCTCATGATATAATAAGCTATGCAACCATATAAGAGAAAATTAGGAAGTCATGACGTGTCAGGCAAAACTTAGGAGGAGAAGAGCAGAAGAGTAAGAGGGAAGAGGCTTTGGAGTCAAACTAGGTGGATTGAAATACTGGCTCTGTCTCTCACCTGCTATGACTGTGGATAACTTACCCATTCTTCTTGCTCCTCAGTTTATCTGTATAATGAGAGGGTTAAACAAATTACCTGGCACATGGTAAGCACATAATAAATGCTAGCTTCCATAAAAAGATGATTCTTGACGCTATTCAAACTATCCATTTAATACCTATTATATACCTAGTATGTGCCAGGATCTGTTAGGCTGTAGAGATATGAAGAGGAAACACTAACCCCTTTCTTTGAAGGCTTCACAGGCTTTAAGTTTTTGGAGACCCTAAGGCTAAGACTCATTCTTCTCTTCTGTGGGTTTATAACCACTAAGAAATAGGAGAGAATGAATTGGGATCCAAACTTTACCCTTGGAATCTCAGCATTTCCGTAGCATGGGGCTCCGGGTGGAGAGAGATGGGAGAATGGTGCATCCTAAGTCCACCTATCATTCCTTTGGAGACTGAGCAGCAGAGGGAACCCTTCCTTCCTTGTTGGCAGGAGGACCCTGCCAAGGTTGGCCAGCTTTATACAGGCAGGAAGTACATGAGGAAACATCTGTCCTGGTGAACAAGCAAGACAGAGTGAGAATAGAAAGGGCACCCTTCCCACTCTGATTCAAAAGAACCTTACCCAAATATGGGTGGGTCTTAGCCTAATCTCCCCATCATAATTAAAAATTTCTTTTGTAGACTCATAAATGTGCATACGTGTGCAGTTTTAAATTTGATAGTATGGATTTTGTACTAAAGGAATCTTCATTCATGTATATTAATAGAGAGGTGGTAGAGCAGGACTGATGTTTGTTTCATTTATTTAGCACTTGTGACAAGATGGCTCTGGGCCTGGCTGGTGCGAGGGCATTGCTTTATTGATTAAATAATGTGATGAAAGGGAACAGTGCTTATGTGTTGAGAGATTATTGCCAGAGACGCTTGGCCAACAAAGTGCTGAAAGGAGAGTAGTGTGACACTTTCACTGTAAGTAATTAGCAGCCAGTTGGAACCAAAACACAGCATCCTGGGGAAAGTTCCAGTTAATGCAGCAAGTTTGCATTTTTGAAGGCATGCAGAATTACATTCTGTTTCCCAATTGAGCTCATTTTTTGACTCTGAATAATAAAAAATAAACATCTGAAACTACAGTGATATAAAACAATATACTTGAAATTGCACAAAAGAAAACAGTGCACTTTTATAGAAAAGGGACACGGATCTATTCTCAGGAATCGTATATAAAACAGTAATAAATTTCAAACAATGCATTTATTACATTACTTTATTGTAGTTCTAAAAAAAAGCACTTACAATTCTCAGAAATGTTATAGGGTCTGTGTGGAGTGAATGTGTTTGTTCACGCATTTATGGTAGAAAATAGGACTGGACTACTCAAGAGTGTAACCTGACATTTGTCCTTTGGCCTTTGGAATGATTTGAAGGATAGATACATTGCCAGGGAAGATGGTGATCTCTGAGAACCCAAGGCATTAGGGGATTTAATTCAAGTTATGACACTGGGACTTACTCTGTGCCCTATGTACATAGTCTACCCTACTGGAAAGGAATGCATAGGGCATTTGTGCCACTTTTGACAAATTGACCTCTATCTCACCATTTGTATTCCACCAGCACTTCAGAGTATTGCTTCCAACTTTCTGTTCTTCATTCTTTCACTTTTTTCTCTTTTTGACTTCTCTGCTTGAATTCTTTATTTCCCTTTTCTCTCCCTTAGTAAATACTTAAAACAAGGACTCTGGAGGCTGTCTTCCTGGCTTCAAATCCTGGTTCTGTGACTTATTAGCTATGTGACCGTGGGAAAACCACTTGATCTCTCTGTGCCTCAGTTTCCTCATTTGTAAACTGGTGATAATAATAGTATCCAGCACATCAGGTTACTAGAAGGATAAAATATTTAAAATATTTAAAGTGCTTAAGTTTCTTGACACAGAATAAATGCTATTATGCTTTGTATGTATTTATACACTAATAAATACACTGTTTGATTCCCACTGACTCAAAAAATATGCACTAGGCTCCCTAAGACCTGCAAAGTGATAAAAGGGATTCGAGGTGTTCTATTATTTGGCTACAAACTCTCTTTTAAGTTTTTTTTTCACTGTATGCTCCACATACTCCATATTCGGGTCATTCACCACAGCCTGAAATTGCCATATATTTTCCTACTTCTCCAAACTACTCACTTAGCCAGAAATGGCTCCATTTCTTCTTGTTTTCTGCCACTCAGAAGCTGAACACCTATGTTTTTGTTACTTATCTAAAGAGATTGAATACTACAAGTACATTAAAAGTGCCTGTGTTGACTGTTCTCATTTAATGTGGTTGTGGGAAGCCAAATGATAGCTCCCCTCTCCCAAATGTCCACATCCTAATCCCCGGAACTAGTAAATGTTAACTTACATTGCAAAGATTTTGCAGATGAGATTAGGATCTTCAGATGGGGAGGTTATTTCGGTTAGTGCATGGCCCCAAGTGCAGTTACAAGTGTCATTAAAAGGTATGATACTACCTTTCACACTTGTGTGAAAGGTAGATTTCACACAGAAGAGTGGAAGGCACTCTGACTGTGGAGGCATAGATTAGGGTGATGTAGTCACAAATCAAGGACTACTAGCAGCCACCAGTAGTTGGAAGAGGCAAGGAACAGATTCTTTCCTAGAGTCTCCAAAGGGAGTGGTCCTGTCTAAACCTTGATCTTAGCTCTGTAAGACTTATTTTGGACTCTGGTCTCCAAGAGTGCAAAAGCATGAATTTATGTTGTTTGAGGCCACCAAGTTTGTGGTAATTTTTTACAGCAGCCAAAGGAAACTAAGACAATGGTATTGTGGTCTACTATTTTATTTACAACATTTTTCTTTCTTTATTTTTAAAGTCATATAGGGTAAAATTCACTGTTTTTGGTGTGCAGTTCTATGAGTTTTGACAAATGAATAGATTCATGTAATGACTACCACAAGCAATATATAGAATAGTTGAGGAAGAAGAACAAAGCTGGAGGGATCATACTTTCTGATATCAAACTATATGGCAAAGCTATAGTAATCAAAACAGTTACGATACTATCGGGGCGCCTGGGTGGCTTAGTCGGTTAAGCGTCCGACTTCAGCTCAGGTCATGATCTCACAGTTCTTGAGTTCGAGCCCTGCATCGGGTTCTGTGCTGACAGCTCAGAGCCTGGAGCCTGCTTCCGATTCTGTGTCTCCCTCTCTCTCTGCCCCTTCCTTCCTCTCTCTCTCTCTCTCTTTCTTCCCTCTCTCTCTCTCAAAAATAAATAAACATTAAAAAAATTTTAAAAATAGACACATAGATTAATGGAACTGAATAGAGAACCCAGAAATACACTAATTTCAACTAATTTCTGATAAAGAAGCCAAGAATATATAATCAAAAGCAAAAGAATGAAACCGTACCCCTATCTTACACCATACACAAAAATCAACTCAAAATGGATTAAAAAATTGAGTGGAAAACCTGAGATAAAACTCCTAGAAGAAAATGTAAGTGGTAGGCTTTTTGATATCAGTCTTGGCAATGATATATATATATATATATATATATATATATATATATATATATATATATACACACACACATATATATATATATTTGATATGATACCAAAAACAAAGGCAACAAAAGCAAAAATAAACAAGTGGGACTACATCAAACTAAAAAGCTTCTGTATAAAAAAGGAAACCACCAACCTATAAAAGGCAACCTGTATAAAAAAGGCAACCTATAGAATGGGCGAAAATATTTGCAAATTATGTATCTGATAAGGGGTTAATATAAAAAGTATATAAAAAACTCACACAACACCACTTAAAAAAAGAGAAATAAAAACAAACAAAAAACCCCAAAACCAATCTGATTAAAAAATGTGCCAGGGAACTGAATAGACATTTTTCCAAAGGAGACACAAATGGCCAACAAGTCCCTGAAAAGGTGCTCAGCATCACGAATCATCA